TTTTTTTTTTTTGTTTTTATGTTTTTTTTTGGTGTTTGTGAGTAGAGGGCTTCTATTCTTTAACCTACTAGTAGCATGAATATTCTAGGAAATCAAAGTTGGAGGGTGAGCAGAATAGTCTTTGCTATATTCATCTTCTTGTTCTTTTGCCTTAGTATACTAGACGAGCTATCTTTGGGGTAATATAACCTATTTTTTTATACCTGTTAGTTTTTCGAAATAATCTTTGCATGACTTTATGGACCCCTATTTTCTGATAAGAGAGGGTTTTGTGGATTTCTAGTATGGCACAATGGCCCTTATGAACTGGTTGTTGCATGCTTGAGAAGGATGAACACCATAGGTGAAATATAAATTCGCTGACATAAGTACTTGCAGATATTGCTAACCCGAATGTATACTTTTAATATAGACGTTAAACATGACATGTGAAAGTAGATTTCAATTTAACATTGTGAACTAAGCAATTTTTGGGATAATCAAAATATTCAAATTCTGCCAAACAAGTCACCTTAAAGAGTATTGAGACTGAAACTTAACTGTAACTTTCTTGTCTCCAGATCTTGTTCTCAAAGATAAAATCTTTGTCTATGATTTGGCTCGTCAAAGATTAGGATGGGCAGATTATGATTGTAAGTGCCTAATTTTCTTTCCGGTTTGTTTATCTTTTTAACAATAATTTACGGCAGGTTGAACTTTCACGTAGCTCATTCTTTTATATCTGAATGTCTTTCCTCAGGTTCGTTGTCTGTGAACGTCTCTATAACTTCCGGGAAGGATGAATTTGTTAATGCTGGGCAACTGAGAGTGAGCAGCGGTTCATCAAGTAGTGTACTCCTCAAGCTGGTAAATAAGAGCAATAATGCTCTCCTGCTGCATATATTAGTGATCGTTGGACTTCTTTTTCTGTAAATTAATTTTCAGTGTAACCCCAATTCTTGGCTTTGCCAATTTATATTTATTGTGATTGGCAGTCAATTGTAGTCCATTTTTCTTTCCCAAGGATAGCCGTTTCCTTAAGCCTCTCACTTTCCCTTTCCAAGGAACAACGGTGGCTTGAAGGCTCTGCCCCGTCTTTTCTTTAGTCTTGCTCACCCCCAACTGCTGGTAGAAGTAACCGCAACCTGTACCTCGACTCTTTGACCGAAAATTGGACTCTTTCTCCCTCTCCCTCTTCGCATCCAAATTGTTCCTCCTCCTTGAGTGTGAACAAAGTTCTAAATTATTTTCGAAATGAGGCTTGAAGGATCAAAATGTTGGTCATGATCGAGCAGAATAAATCTGTTCGCAGCGTTGCTTCTTAGGTGGTGAAATTTGTACAGATGAAAAGAAATTTTGGGAGCTGGTCAGTTTGTAGTTAAAACATTCTTATCTATGCTCCTTTATCATCTGTATCTGGGACAGGTCGCTATGCGATTGTTTGAGTTGTAATATTTGGTGGTATGACAAGAAGACTTGAGAATTACGTCATTTCATATTAAATGATAAGATCAATGAAGTGTATATCCATCCATTTAATAGTATTGCTATTCGTGAGCAATGCTTACTGATCATTAGTTATGTGGCATCATTTGATTTGTCATCTTAAATGTAGATGTCAAATCAATTAAAATCGTCTAAATGTCAATCATTATTAGCAATGTTATTCAAACATTTAACTAGCGTTATCATTTCCAACCATGCTTCATGTACAAGGAAGCACTCACAGGGGTCGGCCAGGACAGAGACAATAGTGGAGCCAACACACTTTTTTTTTTTTTTTTATTTAATACAGGCCCCTGTGAAAACAATGCCCTGTACACAGGGCTTAATTTTATCATTTCATGGTACATTGCCTGACAAAGATGGGTGATCATATCTAATGGAGATAATTACAATCGATACATTCTAAGTTTCAACATGTTTAAATACTTGCTCTTGCTAAGGTCATAGAATGGTTTCTCCAGTATTGTTTAAAAAGTAGACCGTGATAGTTTGAGGGAAGAAAATAAGCTATGTTTTTGTTTATTCTATGACATTTTATTCGGTATTATATACTAAACATTTCTAAACACGAAAAACATGTTTGATATGGGGATAAAAAGCACTTAGCACTAAACACATTCTGAAAGGAAAAGAAAGAAAAAAGTTGGCGTTCACATTCAATAGTGTGTTTGAGCGTCTTCAATGTAATAATGTGAATTATTGTATATGTGACAAGCAAAATAGGAATGGAGAGGAGAGCATTTTTTATGCGGTTAAGGATTGAATTAGTTATAGGTCATATATACAAGAGAGAACGTAGAGAAAGACGGAAGATAAACAATACATCGTTCGATGAAGATATATTATTACGTGAATGATGTCTAGTACA